AAACCCCCAGACCCTAAAGCCTCAACCCCCAAACCCTAAACCCTCAACCCCTAAACCCTCAACCCCTAAACCCTCAACCCTAAACCCTCAACCCCTAAAACCCTCAACCCCGAAACCCCCAGACCCTAAACCCTCAACCCCTAAACCCTCAACCCCTAAACCCTCAACCCCTAAACCCTAAACCCCTTATCCCGAAACCCCTAAACCCTAAACCCTGAACCCACCAGAAGGGGTTGATCTGAGGAGCAGCCTTCAGCGACGACGGTGTCTCGTGGACCAAGGCTGGCTTTTGCCCTTATAGGATCCTTAAGGGAGGGTGGCTCAAGTTAAAGGGAACTACAGAGTTTAGGGTATATAGGGCTTCTATAAGGCTTCCATGAGGTATATAGACCTTCTCCTATAACGGTAACTACCCACCTGAAAATGTCCTAGATCAAGGGGGGAGGGTCCTAGGGAGCTTTAGGGAACCTAAGGGAGTGCTCGAGAGAATTGGGGATTACTGGGTTATATACCCCCCTTAGAACCCCCTCCCTTCAGGATTCCATAATGCCCGGTGTCAATGATGGAGGGTTCAGGGTTTCTTGGGGTGGTATTTGGGCCTTGGAGTGTCAGGGGTTTAGGGAGTTTAAGGTTTTTTGGGGGGTGTTTGGGCCTTGGAGTGTCAGGGGTGCATTAGGAAGTTTAGGGAGTTTAGGGTTTAGCATTTAGGCCTTGGAAGTGTCAGGTTCGGTTCAAGTGCGGTGGGTTTCAGGGCACAGCCGTGACAGCCGTCGAGTAGTCGACGAGTAGAAGCGGCATTGGACGAAGAACCTCAGGTAGAAAGCCGAAAACCGTAAAGTTCGCTGAAGCCTTAAACCCTAAACCCCTAAACCCTAAACCCTAAACCCCTATAAACCCTAAACTTAAACCTCCGAAGCCCTAGCAAGCCCTAGGCATAAGGCCTAGAAGACCAGGTCGATGGACCAGTGCTGGAGGGTGGAAGCGGCGGAGCATGGGATGAGAAGGGTGCCCCTCATCTGCATACGATGAAGAGTCCAGAGTAGGGTTTAGGCTTTAGGGTTTAGGGTTTAGGGAGTAGGGTTTAGGGTTTAGGCTTTAGGGTTTAGGGTTGAGTCCAGAGGTTTGAGGATGAATCATTCGGGGTTGTTCTTTGTAGGCGTGGAACTAAGGTTATGGGTTTTTCGAGGCCGTTGATCCTACCCGCTACTCTAAGCTGGACTCTGCATGCACTAATCGAAAGCAGCCGCTGGATTGGTGCCGAGGACTGTGCTGCAAACTCTGCTGTTCGCCCCACGCTTCTTCTGCGAAGTGTTGGTTCTTCCGTTGCGGCTGCTGACGAAGATGACGGTGATGAGAAAAGGCGATGATGACACCGACGATATTTCCGATGATGACGCTAAGTTCTACAAGATCAAGACCGGACGATGATGATGATGATGACGACGATGATTATGACGGTGCTTGCGATAGCCATGATGGCGATAACGCTCGCTATTTTTTCGTTCCCAGCAGTGTCCTCATCGTCGTCGTCCTGCTGCTATTCTATCATACTCTTGAATTATCGAAGCTCCTTGCATACAAGGATTACATGGATTTTCAGCACAGTCGATACTTAGTAGGCATACAGTATGTCCCTACGAAACACTATAGGAGCATTTGTATCGACGACGACGACGATGACCACGACGGTACTACTGCCTGACCTGTACTACCTGCACGTACCGCGGTCACCGCTGCTCCTGCCATTGCTACTGCGGCTATGCTCTCGTACAAACAGACCAGGAGTGTCACGAGGAAGCGTCGGGCACAAAATGCTCTTACCTGCTGATAACTCAAAGCTTAAAGACCCGAAAAAAGTGTGGTGTTTGTCATTGCTTTACGGTGGTTTATGAAGGTTTTGGGGCTTTAGGGCTTGAGGCTTGAGGTCATAGGGTGGAGTCGAGGGTCGAACATGGACGCAGGCAAGCACTGTCAGGGTCTTCAAAGGGTTCGGGATCATGTGACAGACCCTGATGGTTGTTCCGAATAGACAGACGGGGCACTAAACCCTAAACCTTAAATTAAATGATACTGCCTCTACTGCACCGGCTGTCTTGTGCTCAGGGCTCTGAGCAAGGCAAAATTGCGTGCATCGGAGCGCAGCTTCACTTCAGAGTTTAAACCGTACCGGGCGCAGCCTCTAAGATGGCATTATTGTAGGGACCTTAATAATTACCGCCATTTTTTGGGGGTTTCTTATTATATTGAAACTATAAAGGACCACCAAAACCCTATTCTAATTACTAAGGCCTCTACATTAATTCTTGGCCATTGATGGAACTGTTGGGCTTTGCCATCGGAGGTTGGCGTGCGACATCCAATCGTGCAGCCGGGCGGACGCCTTGTCATGGTCTATGAGGTTGGAATCATGCTTTGCAACAGGGGTGCGGGGCATCCAGTCCAGCCTGACACATAGCAAGATCAACATGCTTCTGCTGCCAAGCCTGATTAATATAGGGGCCTGAATAATTACCTATATTATTTTGGGGGCTCCTTATCGTAATTATAGTATGATGGGCCCCAAAACCCTATTCTAATTATTGAGGCCCCCTACACTACGAACCTAGGCATCGTGAACTGCTGTAGTTTCGGGGAGTCGGTTCTTATGCACTACCTTAACCCCAAAGAACCTACATTTTTCAAGGATTTCGATGCAGAAATCATATTAAGGAACCCTAAAAAGGTGGGTTCTTCAGGGTCCAGGTAGGCCCGACTGGCGACGGCAGATCAAGGGCTTGCATAGGGGTTCCTCTAGAGGGACCCTAAACCCCAAACTCTGGTTACTTTAAAAGGGGTCCTTTAAGGGATTTAGGGTTTAGGGTTTTTTTTAGATCAAAAAGAAACCCTAAACCCTAAGCCCTAAATCCCTTAAAGGACCGCTTTTAAAGTAACCCTAACCCTCTCACCCCCTTCAGGCTTCCTTTAAGCTGTGGTCCAGGCCGTCGATGCGGCCATGGACCATGCAATGGGACTGGCAGAGCCTATGCTGAGGATGTATGCTTTTCGAAGGGAACAGGGCTTAGGAAGTTTAAGGGATTCCTGCTTAACGGATTCCCTACAGTAATGTGTGAAGTTTTTGGATTACGGCGTGTAGGGTTTTATGGTTTGGAGTCAGGGGTTTATTGTGGGTTTTTAGGATGTCGAGTTTATGCGTTGTCGGCTTTCGAGTTTTACAGATAGCAGGTGCTCTTTTTTGAGGGTCCTTGTAGTCAGGCTCGCTTCGGTTCTAGGATTCAGCCCCCTGTCTTCTCAAAGCCACCGGTTTTGCAAGGCCTTATCGGTTTTTGTTGCAGGGTATAGTCTAGGGCTATATGCTGGCGGCGGGGTTAGGGATTGATAGTGCCGAGGTTTGCGGGGGTAGGGTGAGTAGGGCAGCGAACTTCATTAAGTGCCTCCAAGAATAGCACACTGTGCCAAACGACTTCGGTTTTAGCTACCAAGGAGAGCTCGGACGGCATCAGCTGGACGAAGGCGAGCAACAGGATACATGTGGCTGTGGCGTGTTTTTCAACACTAGACCTCTTGTTTGGGGAATCTTACACTCAGGATCCGACTATTGAAGGGTTTGTATGTGGGTCTTTTATTTTCTGAAGCAGCCACATTCCGAGACTCAATAATCAGTTTAGTGCATCAAGTGGGTCTAGAATTCCGAACTCTCAACCCTTTAGTCTCATCGCAGAGAGACGAAGACACAAAAACAGGGCACCGCCTCCAAACTCTGGGTACGAAACCTGAGACAATTCAGGGCATACTCCGTGTGAACCCCCCCTGCTGAAGTCCAAGACCTCTCTGCAGTTCACACAGACGTCCTTGTCAAGAGAATGTTCATTTTGGGGCTGTCTGGTCTCGACATGGAACTGCTTGAGGTCGAGTTCCCCGAAGCTGAGCTCGGCGGGCCCATCCTCAAGAAGGCGGCAGCTCTCCCCTTTCTTTTGCTTTTTCTACCGAGGGGTTATAGGGGGATCCATAGTCGGTTGTGGTTGTCGTTACCTTATTTTGGGGTCCTTATAATTGGGATCCTACTATTTGGGGTACTATATTAGGGTCCCCTATTTTTGGGAACCCCCATGTAGGCTTCCGTGAGTTGGTCTGAGTTGTTGGTTTTTGGTCTGTGTTTGGTGTGCGTTGACTTTTGGTTGGGGGAGGTGCGGCACTCGGAAGTTGGGGCTCAAGAGTTTGCGGAAGGGTTTAGGGAGGTCTAGGGTTCCCAGAGACTCCAAAACTTCCTTAATTAAGGAATATACCTAAAATCAGATTAGGGATCCTATTATGCTTTAAGGTATATTCCTTAATTAAAGGGTTTTGGAGTCTCTGGGTTCGGGGACGCTGATTACTGAAAGGATCCTTGGTGTCAGTGATCCTAGGAAGGTGATCCTTGTGCTTCGGATGTCCACCTTTTCTTCATATCCCCGTCTGGTTGTCAGGTAAGTGGCCACGGTTGTATCATCAGGCTTCTTGAGAACATGGTGACATGTTGTACATTGTAGGTGGAGGTTCGTCCAGTATGAATTAGTAAAGCAACAGGAGCGGGGTTGGCAAACCACAGAAATATGCAATACCCCCAGCGAGACCCGACGAAGTGTATTCCAAGATGTGTGTCATGAAAGCTGGGCTTAAGCGGCTTAAGTGGCGATTGCTGAAGATGGATGAGACACGCTCCATCGCGAAGCAGAGCGACAAGAAGAACACAAATATCGGAAAAGGCCCAAGTACCCAACTGCAAGCCCAAGCATCGCGATTCTGAGCCCGAGGACCCCGTGCCCTTGCCCGTACTTTGCGCTCGCCACCAGGGGGACGCCGACTCCTGGGACAGCCGCGTCGTTGGCACACCGTCCCGGGGCTTGTGCTGCGAGTTGTGGGAGCAGCAACGCGATAATATAGGGACCGTAGTAATTACCTAGACTATTGTGGCGGGTCCTTTATTATAATTGTAATGTAATGGGCCCCAAAACCCCATTCTAATTATTCAGGCCCCTATATTACACGACAACCACATCTATGGTCCTGTCTTCAGGTATGTGGTCCCTCCTCTGGCTTCCGATGATCCATGGCGTCTGTACTACGTCGGAGAGGCTGCAATCTTCTAGGACATTTTCAGGTGGGTAGTTACTGTTATAGGAGCCTTATGGAAGGCTTATATACCTTATAGTCCTTATAGAAGCCTTATATACCCTAAACTCCCCACCTGTAATTTCCTTTTAAATCTTGAGAGCAGTCTGGGGCTCGGGATCTCCACTTTCTGGTTCGGCCAAGGCAGGACGGACATTCGGAACCCAATACGGGAGTTTCCGAAAATAAGGGGGTACTCCGTGAAATTAGGATCCTACTATCTAGGGCAATTAGGGTTTTGGGTTTAGGTTGCAAGAGTCCTGGATGCGAAAAAGGGTTTATAATGATGTAATATGGGAGTTTCCGAAAGTAAGGGGTACCTTATTTTGGGGTCCTCATAATATGAATCCTACTATTTAGGGTACTGTATTAGCGTCCCCTTTTTTTCGGAAATCCCATAATATATACGAATTTTATTCCCGGATGCAGCCTCTTGATTTTGCACAGCATTGGGTGGGTGTTGAAGGCAAGACCTCCCAACAAAAAGCCCCGTCCTGAGAGATCAGGTGAGCTTGCGGCTTATGCAAGGCTTACTCCCATTTTCCGAAAATCAGCCAACGTCGTTGAAGAGCCTAAGGTTTCATGGTTTAGGATTTTGTTGAGGGGCGGGGCGGGTTAACTTCTCGCTTAGTTTGGGGATGCCTTCTTCCGTAAAGCTTTCAGAACTAAAAGAAACTACAGGTGGGGAGTTTAGGGTATATAGGGCTTCTATAAGGCTTCCATACAGTATATATGATCCCGGTTCTCGGTTCACCGACCCCCCCCCCCCCCCCCC